TGGAACAAAACGCCCAACAAAACAAAACAAATGAGCAGTAGGTTATGACAGGCCAACATGCTCCAGGAACTTAAGCACACACGAGTAAGTTCTTCCTCTTGAATATCCCCAGTCCAATCTTCCTCCTGGACACTCTGTTAGAAGGATGTAGAAAGCCTCCCCCCGCACAGCCAGCCTGTTTACTTGCTCTCTTCGTGCCATGCTGAGGAGCTAGCATGTTATTGCTGGCTGCCTGGAAAAGTCCGGGGGCCTGCTGAATTTCTCTTTCTTTCCCCTCCCCCACAAAACAAACACACAGCAGCTGAAGCCTTGGAGAAACAGTATTCATTCCTGTAGGGGGGCAGAATTTTTCTAGACACATGCAATGGACTTTTAGGAGCAGTATAACAAGACTTGGCTGGGCTTATATGGAAATCCTTCCCATACCTGTGAGGCTGTGCATGGACACACATACCATCAGCAAAAAGCTCATTACATATGGCACTCAAGATGTACTAGCATACTGAAAGACCCTTTGGTGTGAACCCAGAGCTGCCCAGCCCCCACACTTGTTACAGGACCGTTGCTTTCTGTTGCCCCTTACTGATCTAGCTCAGTCCGACAGAAGAGAGGATGGTGGGCAAGCGGAAGTAAAGGGCAGATGGAGTGAAGGATGAAAGGGGTTCAGGGTGCACAGTTTTCTCTTACCTTGAGTTACCTCACTATGTCCAAAATTAAGTCTACTAACAATTGAAGGGCTCTGGATAGAGGACGGAACCAGTGAAAAATTAAGATGTATTTAAAATCCCCCTCTCTCCCCTCTGTTGTTAAAAGAAACTTCAGCAATTCTGCCTTGGCCATCAAAATGTCCTGAATTTTTCTGCTTTTTGGGCTTTTTTCAGTCTGGATGAGGCAGAGAAGAGAGTGGGAGGGAAGGAGAGGGGGGCTGGGAGCAGAAGTTTAACAAAGGATCACTTTAACAGAAACTACTGAGTAATCGCTCTATTCCGGGCCAAGAATAACATCAGCTCAATGTCGGCAATTAGAATCAGGTCAGTTGGGCCTCACAGCCGGTGCGGCCCTCCTCACAGCCCCCCAGCACGGAGGGCTACTCATGCTGATGTCACCAGCAGTCACTGCTGCCCAAGAAAGTCCCCCGACTCAGCTGAAAGGAAAGTTTTTTATCCTTCTCCTTCAGGGGCAGGAAGCCAGAATGAGAAGGAAGTGGGAAGCAATGAGTGTAAACCAGAGAGAAGACACACGTTGGCATAGATCAACACATAACAGATTCATTTTACCACCCCGAGCTGACCAGGATTCTGTCATGTCTCCAACCACCCTGAAACTCATGTTAAATAAATGAATATATGTAAAGCACCTGGAACAGTGCTTGGGCCACAGTGCTGAGTGTTGGCTATTATTATTAAAAACAAAGAAGGAGGAATCTGTCCCGTTACTTATCTCCTGTCCACCATAAAACTTGAATCCTGGGAGCATGATTGCTGAGCAGAATGTACCCTGATAAGAAAAATGCACACGAAGGTTTTCAGGCTTGGAAAACTTATTTATAAGGAGACTGTGGTAGATGGAGGGAACAAGATGGAAACAAAGTTCCTATAAAACAATGATTGCCTGAAATTTTATAAGGGCAACACTAAGTTTTAACATGTTCAGTCTCCCTGCCAAAGGACAGAAAACAAATAACTGAAGAAGAGACGTTCCTAATCTCTTTCCCTTTAGCTCGATGGTTCTCAAAGTGTGGTCCCCCAAAGGGCAGCACTGGCATCACCTGGGGAAGTGGTTAGAAATGGAAATAATTGAGCCCCATTCCCAAACTTACTGAATCAGAAATGGGGTGGGGTTAGCAATCGGTGTTTTAACAGGCCCTCAAAATGGTTCTGTTGCTCATAATTAGGGGTCTGCAAACTAGGGCTTATAAGACAAATCCAGCCTGCCACCCATTTTTAATAAATAAAGTTTCACTGGAAGACAGCCACACTCGTTCATTTCCATATTGTTTACGGCTGTTTCCATTCTACCATGGCAAAGCTGAGTAGTGGCCACAGAGACTCTATGGCCTCTGAAGCCTTAAGTATTTACTATCTGGCCATTTACAAAAAAAGTTTACTGATCCTGTCTGACTTAGAATGATTTCTTCTTTAAAACTGCTGGTTTTACTCATCAGTGTGTACACTCTGTTTATCCTGCTTTCTATCAAATGGACTGGATCACACCTATTTCCTTGTACCTCAGTCCCTGGAAATCCTGCCAATGGCTCTGGGTGAATTCCTCTCTGATGCCCATGTTACGGTTCCAGTCTCTTATTGAGATGGGTTCAGTACATGACACTTTCTCAGTTTATGAGTGCAACACTAAACAGAGATGAAGATCAAACCTTACTCTGCATGAACAGTTAGAGATGTCCATTTCCAAACATATCCTCAATCAGAGTTCGCCTTCTTGAAATCAATACCTTTAATAAGCTGGCTACCTAAGTGCAGAAAGGGATGGAGAACTTCCTTTGCGTGTAGTGCAAGAAAGGTTGCATGATGTTTCCCAAAAATATTTTTAGGGAATCACTATGAAAGGCACAGTCCATGCACATAATCAATATAATTCAATACACTACAGTGCAATACAGTATAAAGCCCCCTTTAATGGCCTGTTCCACAGGTGTCTCTTAGGGATGAATGTTAAGTAAATTAGATTTCAATTCTACCCTCAAACAGGCAATTAATCAAATTGTTACTTATATCATTGGCTATGTATACTTTAGAAAAATGAATCCCAAACATAAGGAGTTCATCAGAGAAACCACCTCTATCTATTAACCCAAGGGCAGAAACACAGAGAACGCAAAGCAGGCTTCCATCAACGACGTGGTGATAATTATAATGGTCAAGCCTAGCACAGCCATAAGGTAGGCAAGAAGCAGAGACATTTAATATCTTATTTGCTATTTTCTTAGTTATAAACTCTTCAAGCTACGAATTTAGTTTCTTTAGCTCTCCCCACAGTCCCAGAACTTCACCCTGACTCATTTTTACCTAAATCAGCTATGGATTAGAAGAACAGGGGGAAGAAACAAATGATGTTATAAACATATATAAAATTATGATGAATGATTTTCTGTTCCCTCTCCAGGAGACACGGGATAACTCCCTTCTTGGGAGTTCTAACTCCTCCCTAAGACAGATATTCTGACAGATTCTAAAAAACATGTTTTCCATATACTTCATAGTTCAGTGAAACTAAACCACTGTAATCCTCACTGGAAAAAAGAAAAAAATCCACACAAGAATAGCAGTACTCTGAATTTTCAAAGGAATGTGAGTCGCTGGAAGCTAATCAAAAGAATGAGACGGGCTTTTAAATGAAGCAGTTTCTAAAAGTAAAAATCAGTAAAACGGTCTCTCCCCCAAACTTTGATGTCCTACGATCACTTTAAAAATCATCACTATTTCAAGGTATGGAAGCATTAAAAGGGCCCAATTGTCTAGATTCATTAGATCATTGATTATGCTCACATAAGGGAAATAAGGCTATTCTTGAGACCTCTCCTGTCCAGGATCTGATTAAGTTTGCATTCTCAAGTACTCTGCATGACAGGGAGTTCAGAAGTTCCCAAGTTTTAAGAAATTTACACAGACTGAAAAAAACTAAGATACACATTTATATCTACAATTGTGAAAATGCAAACTGCCCATCCCAAAGACTTTCTAAATGAGGAAATTACTGTGTGATGGAGGGCAGCGTGGTGATCAAAATGAGACGCTACATTCCATGCTTCCCAGGTAAGAAGTCTGGATTTTCCTCCCATAAAAATGACCTACCGACCTACTTCACAACTACCTATACTTTCGATTTCTCGTAAATTACACTGAGTTAATATAATATAGAGAGTACACCGGCACAGAAAAAGATGAGCACGTAATGAATGAAATCGAAATAATAAAATGTCTGGACCTGGACAATAGTTAAAAAGATTAAGTAGAGACAGAGAGCATATGATAATTGCTTTATTTAGAGGGAAAGAAAAAAACTTTGGGAAATGTTGCCTTAGCCTTTGAGTGAATATTAATTTTGCACAAACTAATGTACACTATGTACTACCTTTTTATAGAAGCAAATAACAAGAGATCAAACTGATATATTTCTTCACGTAACCAGATAAAAGGGAAGCTCATAGAATCAGTACTAATTCAGCCCAAAAGAACATGTAGAACATAGTAATGGAGTCTAATGATAACCCTGAAATCATCAAGAAAAAGTTAACTCCATAAGGCCTGATTTTTTTTGTGAAGTCATCCTTTCTCTGTAATTTGGGCCACACTGACACACGAGTACAATTCACTTACACAGCTCCCTCACACATATACTCAGGAGTTTCTGTAATTGTAGAGACAGTGAACAGGAAACCAGTGTTTGACTAGAGCGTAAATGCCAGGACAGCAAGGATTTTCTTGTATACCCTTACACTTTTGTGTATTGTTTTGTGTACTGTGAAACCGGAAGACCAAAAGCCAAACTTATGACCATTTCCTATGAGAAGAACTTGAAACATTATTTATATCTTGAAAATCTTGATAGGTCATGAAGGATTGATGTGTGCTTATGTGCACCAAGTGTGTAAAGATAAGGAAGTGGTACATTTAGAAAAAGGAGTTGCTTCAAATGCTAGCTTTTAGGGAGATGGAAAGTAGACCCTCGGGGAGCTTACTCAACTACCATCATGCAACAGAAAGGGGAAATGCTACAAGAGATTTGTGTAGAGAAATAGTCCAGTGAGAGAAAGTGTCAAACCTGGATCAGCGTTACCTCCCAGCAAAGCCAACATCATGGCTTCAGCACATTTCTTCCCTTAGAGCAGATTCTCCATGAATCGTCCAAGCCATAGCGGTGTTGGTAAACACTTGGGAAATGTCTCCTACCTTTCCCATTGACCTGATTCCCCATCCCTCCACACCCACCCCGCCATAGAAGGAAGATACTAGTATATGGAAAAGCCTTATCTGAATTACCTGGTGCCGGGCTCGACTCTGATCCAGAAGCTGCCGGGACTGAAGTTTTTGTTGTTCAAGTTGCTGCAGGGCAAAATGGAGTTGGTAACTGCCCGCTGTGGGGTGATACTTGTGCTGAGGGACCACCCCTGTAGCCTTGCTATACGCGTTGTTTTCTACCTCTCCCTCCCAGGCAAAGCCTCCTGTTTGAAGGCTCCTAAAGAGAAAAGAAAGCATTATTTCTTAGGTTGTATGAACAACCTAACGGAAAAAGAGGGAAGTATCACAGGTATTTTTCCTGTATAGAGCAAAACACAGTGTGGAATTACAAATCTATGTGTGTGATACATGATCTGATTCGCCCACTGAACTGTAGCTCCATGAAGACCAAGTCAGGGTCGGTTCTGCTCTCCATTCTATTCGTAGCCGTTATCCCGAAGGCTGGCACATGGTCAGCGTACGTAAGTATCTGTTGAAGGTTAAATAATGAAAACAGTCACCTCTGTCCCCTGTGAAGGCCACAAGGGCTTCTGAGAGGAGCCAGGGAGCTTCAGATGTGGGATGGCAAGTTAAATTTCAGATAGGAACAGAGAAGCAATCATCTTCTCTAACATCAACTTCAAAAGTATAGGGGTGAATTTCACAGAATTCATGGTTTTTCTTAACTACCCATTAGTGAGCTCATGTGTCCATCATGGGATAAAACAACTGGTCTGAGAAGATACTTTTTTTCATTATTCTAAAGTTACCTCAATGGAGTCCCAGCCAAGCTGATGTTTAGCCTGTACATCTGAGGAAGGTGAAGGGCTGGTGGCCTTGGGGACTGTTCAGTACTCATGCTAGGCTGTTTGTTACATACTCTGACTTTCTTCGTTACCCAGATTCCAAAATTTTAGATTCTGGTGACCATGTCTGTGTATATCCCAGCTGAAGTCTTCATAACTACAGGCCTACACTTGCCCTCTCAGTCCACTTCTTCCAAGTAGAAAAGTCCCCATTTATACCACTTCATACCCATTAGGATGACAACTATTAAAAACAAAACAAAACAAGTGGAAAAAAACAAATGCTGGCCAGCATGGGGAAACACTGGAACGCTCATGCATTGCTGATGGAAATGTGAAATGGTGTAGCTCCCGTGGAAAACATTCTGGCAGTTCCTCAAAAAGCTAAACACAGAATTACCATGTGACCCAACAATTCCCACCCCCTCCAGGTATATACCCCAAAGAGGGGCCTCAGATGCTTCTACACCAATGTTCACAGCAGCATTATTCCCAAGAGCCAAAAGGTGAAAACATCAACAGGTGAACGGATAAACAAAATGTAGTCTATACACACAATGAAATGTTAGCCTTAAAAAGGAAAGAAATTCTGACATGTTACAACATGGATGAACCCTGGGGACATCATACTACGTGAAATAAGTCTGTCACAAAAGGACCAATATTGCATGATTTCACCTCTATGAGGTCCCTGGAAGAGTTAAGTTCATAGAGACAGAAAGTAAAATGGTGGCTGCCAGGGCTGGGGAAATAGGAGAATTGGGAGTTACTGTTTAATAGGTACTGAGTTTTTAGTTTGGGATGACAAGAAAGTTCTGGAATGGACGGTGGCGATGGTTGCACAAGCTCTGAATGTACTATATGCCACTGAATTATACACGTAGAAATGACAAATTTAGGTTTTATGTATTTATTTCCCCACTGTTTTTAAAAAAGGTCCCCACTAATTTTTAGAACAGTCTTATCTGGCAGCCCTTTTCTCTCATTTTTGGTTCTCCTCTGGACCTTCTTCAAATACCCTGTGGTGTCTTGTTTTGTTTTTTTTCCTTTTTGAAATACAGTGACCAGGAAATTGTACACAGAAGAAACAAGAAGAATCTCATAGTGAACAATCTTACCCCAAACCTGGCTATCGGGGCTTAAAGAAAGGAAACAGTGTCTCACTGAAGAGAAATATTCATAGTGACTTAAATCATCCTGCTGTTATTTCCTCTGCAGATTTCCTTTGACATTAAGGGTCATTTCAATGGCAGAGATGCAGCAACACTGGGATAAGGTTATAAGACCTTCCTGAGGACTGACCTCAGGCCGCCTAGTTATTTATAGCCTGATTTCTAATGACCCCAACAGAGCCCTGGGGGAAGGAGCAAAGTGGAATGTCCACTGAGTCCAGGAGCCCAGGCTCCTCTCTCGTCTGCGTTCTCCCACACAGCTTTGTCATTTCAGGGGTCTGCTTTGGTTTCTCTGCCTCTCTCAGAGAGATTTCCAAATACCTAGTTAAGGGAAAGTCTGTGTAATATATTCTGAAGTCCATGGATGAAGGGTTTTCTACTCACATAATCTCACCTCTGACAGGTCACATCCTCGCTCATCTCCTCCCACAGTTTGGCTCCCACAGTTCAGTTGTATAATTACACACTTCCAGCTAATCTTCTCGGAGAACAGTACCAAAAAGCTGAGAGCTTACTTATGAATTTTTCTGAGTTTGACATCTGACCTTCAGGGATCCCTCAGCGTGCATGCTGTTATACAGTTAAAAAGACACGCTCTTTCCCAAAGGACTTCCAGAGATATAGAGAAATGTGGTGACCAATGACTGAATAGAAATAAGTACCTAAATACGCAAATAAAATGTTCTCATTCCACAAAGCGAAGTGTTGAGTGGGAGTCGAACAGAAGTTATAGGGTGAGGAAAGGAGGGGCCAGAGGAAGCTGTTATCTCTTTTCTCATTAGTGAGGGAAGAGAAAAGCTTAATGAAGAGAACGTGCAAGAAACAACTGAGCAGCTCAGGAACTGCGTGGGCTCTGAGTGCAAGGAGGGGTGGTGGGGAAAGGCATCCAGGTATAAATGAAGAGAAGGGTGGAGGCAGGAGTGGGCGGATCCAATGAACAAGTGAACGCAAGGGAAGAGACAGATGGAACAGCAGGAACGGCCTCGCTGAATAACCTTGAGATTTCCATATTGATTACAGCAGGCATTCAAATTTAGAATGAAACAATATATTATTTATAACTGCACCCAAAGTCAGAAAATTAATCAATTGCGATTCTACTTCCATTTCTGGCCTGCTGGTTGTAGAAGTTTCTAGCCACAAGTAGCAATCTAGACTTAGGAATTAGATATTAAAGGGTTTTTGTAACTACGTTATAACTATTACATCAGAATTCATCTCACTGGCAGGCTAGATTGTTTTTATTTTCTAAAAGTGGCTTCTTAACAGATATTCATTCCTAGGAGGCATTTACTTTAATGCCTTCTTGTTGTACATCAGAAATCAGAGTAACGAGGCCCTCTTATATGGAGACGACCAGGGACAGATTCTCAGGTGTGTGTCCACAAAGCAGGGGTCTGTGAGTGGGTAAGAGAAAGTCATATAAGAGACTACGGATAAGAGGTCTGGTTCATCCAGTTGCCCACATAGTGAATGGACTGCAATCTCACAAACTTTCATAGTAAAAGCTGTTTTTAATCTCATCAGTAACCCAAGCCCAGTCTCCAAATCACAAAAGAAAGTTTCTCAAGCAAGTAGAAACTTTTATCAGAGGCAGGAATTTTTGCACCTGTGGGTGGGGGCAAGAGTGCTCAGCTGTGTAAGGCAATGTGGTGAGTGCCATGAGAAACCTGCTTGCTTTGAGTGGTGGTGGTGGTACTCAGGCCATGGTATCTCACAATTAAAGCACAAGCCTCTGGGGTTTGTAATTTTGCAAGTTCTACAATGACTGACTTGGAGGAAGTCAGGTGCACTCTCATTTGGGCCTTACCTGAGATTACGTATCTCCATATTCCCTTCTATGGCATCTAATAGTTTCCATTTCCAGCCAAAATCCATCCTCAACCTCGATTCATTGTAGTCTACTAGTAATACATTTTCCACTGCCATCAAAATTTTGAGCTTTAATTAGTCTCTCTAGTTTTTGTTATTTTTTGCTCAATACTAAAATATTACATTGTACATATTCCTTGCAAATAACTTCTAAGAGTTTTATATTATTTCTAGAACAGAGAAGAGAGAGCCAAGAAAATCAGCTGCGGAAATGCTCAGAATGTCTAACATTTGACTCAAATTCAAAGATTCAAAATGAACTATGCTGTATTTCACCTTTACTACATATGTAGCTAACAGGTAACAATATGGCAAATTTTTCTGAACATCACCTTCTCTTATTAGCCTGTTCATTTAGAACTTCATCTCACTTTCTATATCACTTTGTGGCAAGGCAGGGCTAAATGTTTCTCCGTACCTGCCCTTCCTCTAGCACAGCCCCCAAACTCCAGCCAATACATACTTTCTCCTTTGCTTTAATATTTGTTCCATCAAAGGGATGTTGGTTGTAAGGCACTTGGAGGCACTGGTTTTTATACGATGCGCTGGTTTTTAGCAAAGCAAATCTCACCAGGCAGTTGAACTCTCTGTGAAGATAGGCTTTCAGGTTTTCTGATACTGTTGTGATGTCACAAGAGTGTAGGGTAAGAATGAGGCCCAGGAATGTGACAGGCATACAGAGACTGTGACCCCGCGGTCCATGTCCCCAGCCACCTCCATCCACCCAATCCCAGCTAGACTTGAGCTACCATATATAGGGAGTGTTGGGAAGTGGGTGGGTGTAGATATTAAGGACAACAGAGGCTACATTTTCTTTGTCTATAAATTCTCAGTCCCAAAGTAGTCATAGCACCCAGTAAGTGCTGCAAAGGAGCTATAAATGCTGAACATCTCACAGATGAGAGAAAGGCTCCCCCGAGCAGAACAAAGCAGTGTGGGCCAGAATTAGGAAGGTCTGAGATCAGAGAGGCATCAGGCAAGGGGGTGGGGACTTCTCTTGGCTTTAGGGGATGCTTCCAAGGACAAAAGTAGAGTGATTCTGCGTGGAATGTTGTATGTCCCATTCCCAATGCCTCCCAGGGCAGCTGGAATTGGGCCATATTCACAAAGACCATACAGGGAAGAAGAGAACAAAGCAGGGAAGGGTCCTCTCCACTGGGGCCTTCATTACACTAATTTGTCTGTGCTTCATCTGTTCTCATCTGTGAAACGGGGATATGCTAATAAGTACCTATTTCAAGAGCTGTGGGGGTTCAAGAGCTAACAGAAGTGAAAGCACTGGCACGCAGGAAAGGCTCCAACAGTCTATCACCACCACGAATACTACTATTATTACTATTCTTCCCCCACCAAACGATTCCATTTCACTGATACCCTACAGTCCTTTG